TGTGTGTGTGTGTGTGTGTGTGACTGGGTCTTGCTCTGGTGCCCAGGCTGGAGTGCAGAGGTTCACACACGACCCACTGCAGCCTCGCCCTCCCACCTCAGCTCCTGAGTAGCTGGGACTATAGGTGCAGCCCTTGAGACGCATGGGAACCCCCAGCTCACACTCCACTGCTCTGACCTGTGCCCACGCCCCAGGGCCTGCCGGGGCCTCCTCTGTGCCCTGAGCCCAGGATCTGCTCCCAGGGCAGGCATGGGCCAAGAGGGTGGTACATTCTGTGTTCCCAGCCTGGGCAACATGATCCCGGGGTACAGCGGGGAGGCCCCAGTCCCTGCACACCAGCCCCAAGTGAGGGATTCAGCCTGAGGCATACAGGCTTGGCTGAGCTGGGACTTCTTAGAAACGAGAACGAGAGGGGCTGAGAAAGGAAGAAGGAGAAGCGGGGCAGCCGGTGAGCCTGCACTGCGTAGCCAGGGCCCCGCACCGCCTCCCTGGGACCTCCAGGGCCTTTCCAGCAAGGAAGCAAGACGGATTATTATGTTTTAAATCGTTAAGTAGAGACAGGGTCTTCCTGTGTTACACCGGCTAGTCTCAAACTTCTGGATTCAAGTGATCCTCCCGCCTTGGCCTCCCAAAGTGCTGGGATTGCAGGCAGGAGCCGCTGCGCCCAGACTCACAACTGCTCTCCTCGATTCTGGGGGAGGAGGGACTTCTAATGACCTCCACTCCACAGTGTCTATTTTCCGAGATGCCCTGCCCTGGCAAGAAAGCCACTGGACCGGATTCTTACACAGCATGGGCTCTGGCCGCAGCAGGCACTGGCTCCTTCCAGGAGACGCCCAGTGAGTGCGGAAGGCAGCAGTGCCAGGCCCGGCCCCTCGGGGACTGACCTTCTGTGCCCTCGGCCTCCCGGCCGTGTGGCAGTGACTGCGGCTCCTCCTCCTCCTCCTCGGGGTCGGCCTCTGGCCCGGCCTCCTCCTTCACGCCGCCCCCGGCCTCCTCCAGGAGCACCCCAGCCGCACCCTCCCCTGGGGACTTGGGGTCTTCGGGCTTGGGCTTCTTGGGCTGGCTCCGTTTCCGGTGAGACCTGGAGAGGGAGGTTTATCAGGCAGGACGGGAGACCAGGGAGGGAAGGGCCCCTGGTCTGTGCACTCCGTCTGGCAGCACGCAGCCCCCGCCCACCCCAGAAGAGTGCCCAGCAGCAGGGAGCCTCCCAGCTGCAGGCCAGGGGCGAGGGGAACCCTCGGTGGGGTTCTGCTCTCGGGGGGCAGGAGCCGTGTAGGAGGAGAGGCCGAAGGGAGACGGGACAATGGACGCGGTGGGGATGGTGTCAAGCGGGGGACGCTGATGACAGCTGGAGATGGGAAGCCGACTGACACCAGGTGGGATGATGGGCGGGACGGGGCGGCAGGAGCCGCATGTGCCATGGGACACAGACACGGAGTGTGAGCTCCGCAGGAAACAGCGCTCATGGAAAATGCCTAGACGACAAACGGAACGAGAAGGACACTTACGACAGCCCCGGCCTTTTGGTCTCTTTCTTCCTTTCTAGACTTGGTTTCCTCTCCTCCTCAGTCTTTCTCCAGTGTCTGCTTTCTTTCAGACTAATTTGTCTAGAATGTAAATTTCAGGGGGTTTTTCTCTAGAACTTCTGCTCAACTCCCCAGGACGCCTTGTCCTGGGCACCTGGCTCTGTCCCCGACTCCCTGGGTTCTCTCTCTGCAGCCCTTGAGACGCATGGGAGCCCCCAGCTCACACTCCGCTGCTCTGACCTGTGCCCACGCCCCAGGGCCTGCCAGTGCCTCCTCTGTGCCCCGAGCCCAGGATCTGCTCCCAGGGCAGGTGGGGGCCAAGAGGATGGTGCATTCTGCATGCACAGCCTGGGCACCATGATCCCGGGGGATAGCGGGGAGGCCCCAGTCCCTGGACAACAGCCCCAAGTGAGAGATCGAGTCTGAGACATACAGGTGTGGCTGAGCTGGGACTTCTTAGAAACGAGAACGAGAGGGGCTGAGAAAGGAAGAAGAAGTGAGGCAGCCCGTGAACCGGCAGCTGAGCGGCCAGGGCCTCGCACCGGCTCCCCCGGGACCTCCAGGGCCCTTCCAGCAAGGAAGCAAAAGCTTTTTGCAGATGGGAAGGGGGTGGCTCTCAGGCAGAAGCAGGGACTGCAGAGAAGCCGAGGCCTGGTGGGTCGCTAGTGCCTCCCGAGGGCAAGTGATGTTGCATCTCCTCCAGGCCCACCCCCGGGCTGCCCCACGCCCTGGCCTGACCAGGGCCCTGCCTAGGCCATGAGCTCGAGGCCACACAGCCCAGCTCCCCAGCCGCCTTTCTCCCCTTCCCCACTTGAGATCCAGCCACGACAAGCCCGCCAGCCGCCAAGCACAGCTGGGAGTGCCAGCGCTTCCCAGACAATTGCCAATGCCAGCTGTGGCTTCCAGGACCTTACTGTGTCTACTGTCCCCGTGAGTTCAGACTTGGACACCTCAATCCCACAGGGGTCCCTGTGGCAGCTGCCCCTCCAAGAACCAAGTGGTCAGCAAGGTGGGGCAGGCTCATCTGATGGGGTGGGGTGGGCCTGCCAGCGAGGCTTCCATCACCAGGACCAGCTTGTCGCCGCCTGGGCCAAGCTGTCACATGGGCCAGCAGCAGCCCATGCTCCCCTAGGACACTTGGACCTGACCCCTGCCCACCGCTGCTCCCAGCCACTCTGCCCGCCCTGTGCTCCATGCTGGCTTCTGGGGCGTCTCCTCCAGGAAGCCTTCCTAGAAACAGTAGTCACTGCCAGCCCTCCTTGCTCCTCAACTGCCTGACTTGCTAGAATCAGTGCTCCCCGATGTCTGCAGCATGGCCCACCACGATGACTCAAGGCAGAAAGCGGGTGGACTGGAGGCATGGCATCACACAGCATGGTGCACACGAAGTCGCTGCGGGGTGGCCGGGCGGAGGCGGGAGGCAGGCAGGGGCGGGCGTGGGGCCAGAGTCACTAACACAGGGAGCAGGAGGTGGGTGGGGGATATGGGGGTTGCCCCTGCCCTCCAGGAAACATTGTCCACCACAGCAGCCAGAGAACGGCTCTGGGCAGGCAGCCTCAGCCTCCACTCGGGGGCTGGGGAAATGCTGGGTGCCTGCTGCACATGGAGACAGCGGGCTCAGGAGTAGGGAGCTTTGGGGTGGCGCTGGGGTGCAACTGGCTCTTGTCACCACTGTCCTCCCGAGGCGGGTTGCCCTCCTGGTCTGGGAATGCCCCAGGGCTGCAGGGCGGGGATGCCACAGTGGGGCTGACCTGGTCCCAGACAGTACCAGCAGAAGGGCACCCTCCACTCCACTCACCTGGCTCCGCAGCCCCTTCTCCCACCCACTGCAGTCCCTCCCTCCACCCCTACCCTGAAAATCCGCCGGAGAGGTCGCTTTTGACCACGGCCCTCCCCTCCTACAGCCTACCAGGGGCACCCCCACGGCCCTCAAGCCTTACTGTGCCGGCCCCAGAGGGCCCCCGGCCTGTCCTGGTGCCCAATGCCTACTGGGCTCAGGGCTCTGGGACCTCATCCCTGCAGCCCAGCCCTTCCCTACCCACAGCAGTGCCAGGCTGAGACCCCCAGGCTCCACACTACACGGAACTGGGTAGATCTCAACGCACAGCAGCAGCAAGGGGAGCAGGGCCCACAGCAGAGGAGCGTCCATCACTTGGGGTATCTCCAGGGTCCTAAAAGCACTCCTCTTTCCGACCCTGACGCCTTCATCCCCCTTCATGTCTCTGCAGCCGATGATGCTTGTTTCTGGATCTGGCTCCCAGCACAGGCACTGAGGCTACGACCATCCTCACCAGCTCCACGACCTCCCCTTCTCTGTCTGCACCTGACACCGTCTTCCAATGCAGCCAAATTCCACATTTATGCTTTTATGCCCCATAAACACTGCATTCATGAGCTGCAGAGCAACTTGGACTGCATTCCCCGCCTGCCCCTCCCGGGGTCTGAAACTCGCCTCCTGCTTTGGATGCTTAGCTTCCTTGGTATCTCTGAGCTCCCTGCCATCGCTCTTAAACTCCTGCTGTGGCCTCCTATGCAGGGTGCCCCCCACTCCCCAGTGACACCCCTGGGGGTCTTGGTTCCTTCTCCCATGATCTTGAGACTCTCCTTGACTCTCCTGGGTTAGCTCGTTTCCTCAGTCCCATGGCTTTCTTGGTTTACATCCTCGTTTATCTGGAGCACATCCTGCAGCAGCTTCCTGAAAAAGGACGTGGAATCCCAGACTCTGCATGTCTAAAATGATCCTTATTGTCCTCACACATTTCTTGGCAATTTGGCTAGGTAAAGGATTTGGGGAGAATTACACCTCTTTTGACTTTTGAAGGCCTTGTTCCTTTGTCTTTTAGCTTGAGGCATTATGACTATAAATCCAGTGCTAATAGGGTCTCCTGTTCTTTTCTTTCTTTTTTTTTTTTTTTTTTTTTTT